CAAACTCGCGGAAAAATCACGCGGCTACAGCACTTGGGTGAGATAGCTGATCAAGACCGAGTGATTCAGTCGAAAATTCCTTGAGTTGGAGGGCAGTTCAATTTCTCAGTAATGCTAATTATTATCATGGGGATTTCGTCAACAGTGAAAGAAAATTACATGATATCAATCATAGATCGTCTGACTCAATATCATGTCGTTTTCCCCTTTAGGCGGTGATTCTAATGACATCGGAGTTCCACCACCCGTGCGGAGAACAGCCGTCCAGAGTTTTACATGTACCTTTGTACATCAGAATGGGACCACGTGTGGCATGGTCTTCCCAAACAGCTACAGGCTCCAGAAACACAAGAAAGAAGAAGGGCACTTTGTCAAGAAAAACAAGAAGAATAGATGAATCATAGAAAGAACTACACAGATGACAATTGCTTTACTTCAAAACAAACTATTGCTCTGTTTGTTCTTACTTAGTTCGTATTCATATGGTGACCAGCCCCTCTAACTCTGTCCTGCCACTTGTTACATAATGTATTCCGAATGTAAACATGATGAAATAGACTAATATACGTACAAGCTTCTGGAATTTAAATGCGGATAATTTTGTTGGTATAAATGTCATTGAATGTAGCCTTATTTCTTTCTTTTTCGTTTGTATTGTCAGAACATAATAGATTGGATTGATTGAAACCATGGTAGTCTGCTGTCGTCGATCTCTCCTGTGAAGTCTGCATAAGCTCCGAGGAGTCTTATTGGCTTTCTTTGTTGGTGAGACTCCATTGCGTCTTCTTGAATTATAGAATTATTGACTTTCTTAGATGCTGGTTCTTAACTTGCCCTTGACATTTTAGTACTTGTTATTATATACATCATACAGGATGCTGTCATTCATAACGTAATAATAACATTGCCGTCACTGCCGAGAGTTGCAACAACATGTTTCAGATTGATTAGAACAACAATCTATTTTGGGTAGAGTAAAGTACCATTGCTGCCAAATGTGTTGTCACTATACATCGGTCACAAGCAAGGTTTCAAAGCAAGGGGAATGAAATAATGTGCTTTCACTGTAATTAACATCCAATTTGAAATACAGCCGAGGGCGATATGGCATCCGTATATAAATTCAGCTTATAGACGTAATCTCATATTCTGCTGTTTGAAATTGCATTTTTTTATTACTATTTACTGCTATCACAGTCGTTATGTACAGGTTACATTGTAAAACATTGTCATTTTTGCTTTTACAAAACGTTTTCGTCAAAATACAACACAGGTCAAATGTAAACACACCGGTTTGCTTCATGTATGGAGTATCAACTACTAGTATTAATTGTAGTGCTATGATATAAAAAAAAGTTCAACCAGATATAGTTGCTATTTGTTGTACATACTTCAGTCTTGTTGGAGTCTTCGCTGCTCTTTTTTTCTCTCACGAAATACACCATAAGATGATCTATACAAAACCACCGTACTGCATCAATAGTTGCATGTATCGAGGACGTTATCTTCGATACCACGTCTTCGCACGTACTGAGTGAACGAAATGCCTCCAGCTCTCTGTTGCGAGTGAATCTGTATGCCGTCGACTGCTTTCCTCATCAGATATAACCAGAACCGATAGCAGGAGTCAGTATGGCCTTTCTCCAACAGCGTGACCTTCCGCTATTCGTGAGATCAGATACGGCTGAAAACGAGTAACATATCGCGCACGGCTCCTGACAGCATTGTTCACAGCTATCACAACGTGCCATCGCTACTCGTCCTATTAATGCGGCCATTGGACGATACTGATCCGACGCCTTAACCTTAACCGTGCATCCATCTCTGCTAGGATTCAAAGACAGTTTGAAAACTTCTTGGTTTGAGAAAATCTTTGAGGAGGCATCCCAGACAAGTTCATTTCTATATATAGTCTCTTCTTCTGATGGAAAGCCTTAGGATTGTGACATATGTTGATCCGATGATACTTGAACAAAAAAAGGAAAGGAAAATTCTGTCGGTACGCAGTATTCAAACGTCCTATCCTTTTCACCATGGACACTTTTAGTTCCCACAGTATATGTGGAAAATTTAGTGTGTTGTTTACACGGGTTTGAATGTACATCTGGATATTTCTAAAGATTTCTCAACCAAGGAATTTCAATAAACGCGGAAAGTTTTGTGTTGGTCGCATAGAGAGTTATGAAACAGCGTTTCTATGTATCGAGGTATGAATATGCACCATAAAAATGCAAAGTTAACCTTTTAGAAAGTCAAGTTCATGACTGATTATGTGTTCATCCGTTCTGCCTTCGGCAAAAAGTCAACTGACATAAAGATTTCGCAGCAAATAATCCCCAGAAATATACCTGCCGTTTTACCAAAGGCCGCAATGGCCATGAAACAAACCCTATGAACATGCACCATATGGATGCAAATTAAACCGTTCAAAAAGTCAAGCTTATGACTGATTATGTGTTCATCCGTTCTGCCTTAGGCAAAAAGTCAAGTGACATAAAGATTTCGCACATAAACAGCGTTCTTGGAGGCAAATAATCCCCAGAAATATACCTGTCGTTTCTACCAAAGGCCAAAATGGCCTTGAAACAAACCTTCGCCATTTTAGGGGATTGAAACGTACAATTACATCTCGCAATGTGATACAGGTGCAGCTTGCGAATAAGTCCCTGAAATATGACCTGGCTTTTTCAGACAGAGATAAGTGTGAAATAGCAGCTGCCACTCGATTTTACATGAGCTATTTGGGGGCTTTCCAGTCGTTGAGAGTTACTATTGAGAGATCATGAGCATCCGTGACATGAATGTCGTCATTGTCGAGACTGTCGTCTAGTCCCTGAGATTGGCGTGAAATGTGGGCTACAGACGGTACTGTGTAACGTTCGTCTGCAATCTCGATGGCATTTACGTACAATACGAACGGCCATGTCAACGATTTATTTGTCGCCATCTCGCCATTCCATCCATCTAAAAGTTCTCATGATCGAAACTGAAACTCTAGAGATATTTAAGCGGGTACGTTGTGTACGTGCTGTCGCTGCACTGGGAATAAATTGTTGAAATGGCTTTCGTTTTGTCTAGGATGGCACTGAGGTCTTGACCATGGAAAAGACTCATCAATGAGGACAGTATGAAATCTGTTTAGTCTCTAACCATAGACGTATAATTTGTCTCTGGCGTCGAATTGAAAATATAGCTACTACATGGAGACCTATTGGCATTCACCTCGTTTGGTGTAGAAATAAAGATAGAGAACTTTATTTGACACAACAAGTACATCGACTTTCGTAAGGTATTTAAGACATGTAGGCATACTGACAGATACCTCAAAATTGACCTACGTACAAGACTATAGATAAGTCAACTTATACAACTTGTTCTACGGTCTAAACATTCTTTGATATATTTACCCATTTGTATACAGTAAGGGCTATTATCTTCAAGAATGAAATTAAATTTATCTATAGCATGAAATGAAACAAATCCCATTGAGCAAGCAGAAAGAAGCTTGAACAGCTTTGTGCGTTTGTTACCATATAGTGGTTTCTGTTATAGCATGCGTCCTCCTTCGTGCAATGCAATGTTGGCTGTTATATCCATTTATAGATTTTTAAGAGTAACAAGTGGCCTACGGCCTTAGCTTGGCAAGTAAGGCTGTGGCACGGGAAAGGTCACGTCATATATATCATTCCAGCCGGGCAGATTTTCCCAGGTGGATTTTCTGACACGAGCGAAGCTTGAGATGGAGAGAGAGTTGTCCATCAGGCCATATACTGTCACATCAAAGGCGCCTAATGCACACAAGTGGCTGTCTTCTCTGAATTGGGACCGCTTCAGATCTACTATTAGGCTATATCAGTGCATTTGTGGCCTCCATAGCATAGCAGGTTCGGTGACCGGCAAAGTGTTTTGGGGGACTTACGTGCTGTTTTATTGTTGTTACTATGGTGTTGAATTGCTAATCCCGCTATAATGTATAATTTTTGTATCGTATTCAGATATCGAGCGTTCTTAATTATAAATGATTTGGATGAAAAAAAAGGTATTACGGAATGGCAGAAAATGCAGACATCAGACTTCCTCATCAAGAATTTTTTTTGTTTGCCACCCTGAAAAATGGCTTTGAATGTCTTTAAATCCGTTAAAATCCAATCAATAAAAGCAACCACATTAGTCAAATTCATGCATTAAACTTAGTATCTCACAGCGACCTTACCACCCCTGGCACACATACATGAGACTATACTAGACATAACATGAGTTTGTCCGCTAAAGGAGTACAGCTTGAAGCTCCCAGTTCCCCTTGCATGTTGTCTATTTGGCCAATTTCTACTCTTACCAACCGTTACTGAAGCCTGATAAAGGCTAGATTGAAGAAACTGTTGCTAATGTGCCCAAGAATTCACCCCACGATCACCCATGGCGTCTAAATGCCAACGCACCCAGGTCGTCACGGGTCTAGCGTCGTTTTTACGGCTTTCAACTGGTGGCTATCTCCTCGACTCAGTCGCACTTCTGAGCGTGCAAGTGCAATGTAATGCAATACCGCAATATAGGAGCGTTTAAAGTAGACACATACTGACCTTTAAAAGCTTATATGATATAAGTTAAACATAGGCTGCGGGGGGAAGTTCTTTCTATTGATATAGGTGTGAGGCGCAATACTTTGCATGCGTAGAAAACAGGCTTTGAATAGCCTCCTGTGCAGGCCTCTGGGCGGGTGGGAGTTTTGATACTGCGTTTTGTAGAATTTTCAACGCGTTCTTTTAATTGCCGGCCATCCTATAACCAGCCGTGGGGGGGGGTACCTTCTCTTGGCCGCTGGTTGTAGGCAATTAAAAGAACGCGTTTAAAATTCTACAAAACCCAGTATCAAAACTCCCACCCGCCCGGCGGCCTGCACAGGAGGCTAGCTTTGAGTCGGATGAATGCCTGCAGAGATTCGTAGCTGTTGACGTCACAGTTTCTGGCTGTAGGCCGATGTAGTTCCGGTGGGGACGACGTGCTTTCATTCGCTAAAGCGCTACCTGCCCCCGCGGTCTGTTCAAGCGGATCTTGCCTGGCTGCCTCGCTTCAAAGCCGGACACGCGGGGAGAGCAATTTCGCGGTAACGGCTGTTCAATCCGGGCGGCTTTGGGGGGATTTTGTTCTCTCTACATGATCGATCTTCGAGGCTTCTGAACTTCCTCCCGAATCGCACGACAACAGAGGAACAGTCAAGCTGCCCCTCATCGGTTTCGTGATGAGCCGACGCTATCTTTCTGTTCGTAAATGGATTTTGATTTGTGTGTCATCAGTATGTAAAGTAGGGTTCTTACCACGACTTGCCATTCCGTCTTTCAAGCCGCGGGACTGGATCATCTTCACTATGTAACAGCGTATATCAGAACGTGCGTAGGCTTAACGTTTGTAGTTGTTAACTTTGGTATCTAGCCTGCTATTGCCTAAACCTCCGGAGATTTTGTTCAGCGTCGTATTTTTATGTTCGCGCTTTCAGTGATCACTAAGGAGAATCTACAAAGTGTTCGTGCGTATCTTTACGCCGCGGACTATCTATAGTTGTCTGCGTAGCCTTCGTTGCCTGTGTGTTTTCGTTTTCGGGAGTCTGGACTTACTAGAGAGGCAGCCGTGAGGATTTCATTGTACGGTGTCATCATACTGCACTATACTAGGCGCTGCCTTGCTACCCATTCCCGAAAATGGGAGGTATGCTGTCCAAACTGCAGGACCAAATCGACATGAGAACAAACGACGGACGGAGGAGACGAGAGAAGCGGCACCTGGTGGAACATCTCACCCGCATCACCAACTTCAGGGAGTCGGAAGTCAAGAAATGGTACCGACTGTTCTTCACCGACTGTCCGGACGGCATCCTGACCGAGGAGAAATTCGTGCACTTCTACGTGGCGTACTTTTCCTCGGGAGACCGCGGGAGGAAGACGGCGATGGCCAAGCGGATATTCCGCGCGTTCGACAGGGACGGTAGCGGGACTGTGGACTTCAAGGAGTACCTCACGGGCATGAGCGCGCTACTGAGGGGCTCGGTAGTGGAGAAACTGAAGTGGGCGTTCAACATGTACGATCTGGATGGTAATGGAGAGATATCCCGAGTGGAATTGTATAACGTACTCAAGGTGAGATCGAACTTTGATTACTTGGCCGATTACCTTCGACATACTATAAAAGGTTTATTTGATCTGATGAATTGAGCCAAAGTAACACGCATATAGATACATCGCGTAACACAAGCGTACGGAAAAAACAAATAACTATACTAAAGAAAAACCTAGGACATTACACAATATCCTTTGAAAAACCACAGACGACGAAGGTATGAGATTTTTTTACTTATATAGGCGTAGTCATATTCGTCGTAGCTATAGGTCGTACGATTTTGATATCGTAAAAAGCTGTCTGTGACGTCAGAACCGACTGGCGACAAGGACAGAATTCCCAGTAGCAAGACAACTGAATTTATGGTCGTAGGAAGATTGCACGACGTATGTGACCGAGTCCCAACTCCAGTAATATTCTGAAACTTTGTTTGGCAAAACTAACAGCACCTCTCATCTTGGCCTAATAATCTAATCATCAGAGTGGAAAAAGTCCTCTTGGCGGCTGTCCATTTGATCGTAATCCACTGTAGTGTACTCTTCACTTGTTACACTCTCATGTCTAATCAAGTGTTAGCAATTCTGCTGGTCTGTTGAACACACGTACGGTTGAAGCAATTGTTAGAATTTTCTATTTTGGGAGAAGAGCCTTGAAACGTACTACTACAAAAATCTCCCTAATAGACCTATCCTATAGCCCCACTTAGCATAGCAAAATAAAGATAGATAAATGCAACTATTTAATGGACATGCAGCCACTCTCTCATTTGTAAGTGGTGCTTTCAAGATAACCTCGAATGAACGGGTTTTTAGCGGATGAAACAAGGTGTGACGGTGTCTATGAATTCTTGCAAAGAATCGTATATATATTCATTTCATGTTGAATGGATACATTTTGTAATAACATTGTAATGCTGTTACGATAGTTACTCGATCTGTTCCACAATACACTGATAGCTTAACCACTAAGTGCTTTTGATAACTCGTTGAAATCAAATGCTGTGTCTGATCCGTTATAGAGAGCGTCCGCGAATAAACGATAATGTTGGAAGTTCTATATTAAAAAAACACTTAGTCAAGTTAGTACTCCCTTCCCTTTACCCATATTTTAGTCACGGTACACCTGCGCCCATTTACAAGACTTCGCCTCGGGACCTGTAGTTTAAAATCAGTTTATTTTCATGCAATTTAGTCCCTAGTCCTGCTTGTATCTACGGGTGGCGAGGCGAACGCGTCGTCGTCTGGAACCAGCAAATAGCGACACTGCTCAGAAATCTAGAATGATTCGCAAAATTTGTATAATTGTCCACCACTGTGTCTTGTACTTTGTGTGCCAAAAATGTTGGAACGAATGTAATTTCACAGCATGTACAGCAGCGATGTGTTTGTTTTGTCTTTGGTGAATACATGGATGTAACTCTTGCGACTACAACCTTTCTGGCTCATTACCGGTATAACGAAGTGACATTCCCAGTGCGGTAGTGCGGGCATGTCTAATAACAGGTAGAACCACCTGCGTGTCGGGCGGTACCACCCACAATTGGAGAGCATGTCAGACGGCGACCAGGGACCGCTTTTATGTACAAACGCTTTCTTGCCTTTTTGCTCCTATGGGGTTTGCAAATGTTAGGAAGCTGGAGTTCAGCCAAGTTTTCCTTTGACACACAACGGTACAACTCTTGCATTTTCTATCTGTTTATGGCACTCGACAGGTTCAAATACACACATATACACACACACACAGGCACAGACAGACACAGACAGACACCCGCGCGCGTGCACACACACACACACACACACACACACACACACACACACACACACACACACACACACACACACACACACACACAAACACACACACACACACACACACACACACACACACACACACACACACACACACACACACACACACACACACACACACACACACACACACACACACACACATAAACACACACACACATAAACACACACACACAAACACACTTTCTCTTTTTCTGTTCGCATCTGTGTCTCGAGCTTGTGGAATATGGTAAAGTATACAGCATTAAAGCGATATTATGTGAGATTTTGGCGCCAAAACTGTAAATATAAATAATTGAAATTTTCTCATCTAGAGTGTCATTTTCAATACATGTACCTTTCAACATATTAGCATTGCTATTTCACTTTTCCGACGACTTAGCGCAGCTGTAATTTTAGGAGGCTCCAAAAAAAGAATGTAAACCAACACTGGTTTTCGTTCGAGTATCTTCGGCAGCTTCCAACGCATTTTTGTGGTGCAATGATGTTGATCGTTTACTCCCCAAATGTCATCATGAACCCAGGTAAGCTTATAGCGCAAGAAAATGTGTAAAACAACGATGTTTAAAATAGTGAAAATCTTGCATAATATCGCTTTAAGGATTCTCGGGATTGTATTACGTAAGCTATTTGAGACTAACTGTAGCCATGTCGTCTGGATATGGTGCGGGAAGGACCTTATCACAGCTGAGCACTCTCTGTACTGTCGGTCGGAAGTCGACATCTTTACAACCGGGAGCTTAGCAGGGCGACCACGTGCCGCATCGTGGAACGAATTTACCTGCCTTTTTTTCTGCAAGTCATTTATCATTCCGGGTTGAATCGCAGAGGCTTTACCGAAGGAAAACATGTTTTTGCTACGTTTCCTGAACCAGACTGTCTGTTACCACGGTAACTAGTGTTGGGCTACATGTACATCATATTGCAATTTTATAGCAGGAGGGATTTAGACTCCTGTCTGACCATATATAGGGATGTGTCTGAGTAAGAATTAACACAACAGACCATATGAAAAGGTAAACATTGTGCATTTGCTTTGCAAATGTTACCTTTCTAGTTTAAATTTTTTTCAGATATAAGGAAACAGAAAGTGCACCATCCAGCGTACAATACTCATAGTAACGGAAATTCGTGTAGAACATAATAATAGTGATAATAATACTAAAATAAATATTCAAGTATCCGTAGAACATTTGATTGTAGCCATAGTAATATAAACGCAAATTCAAATATTATTTAACTCAAATAGGAATTCAAGCTAATATAAAATGATGGCAACAGAAATTCCAAAATGAAAAAAAAATTCGCAGTGGCTTATTTTTTATGTTAAATTTTGCTCCTAGGTGTCTGCAACTTGGGTAGTATCTTGCAGCTTTATTTTGCTTTAGTCAATACATGGAATACGACGATAAAAACCAGTCTCGCAAATCAAGGAAAAATTCAAAGTAAAGACTGGCGAACCAGCTATATATCCAGGCGAGATGTTATTCTAGCATTCCATTGTAGGTGGCCGATGATAATAATTTCTTTCATTCCAAAAGAATAGTAAATTTCCAAGGGCTCGGCTACAGTATCAGCCTCCAACATGCCTCCCTAACCTGGATTTAAAGCAGAACCATGTCTAGTATTGACATTTGAAAACCGTACTTTAGAAGCTTGGAACAGAAGAAGAAGATGTTGGTAATTTGTTAGTAGCTTAAACCGTCAGCTGCGGGAAATCCCTCACTTGTAGTCACCCTTGTCATTACAGCCGTGCAGTTTCCGGCGATGTCGCTAAGTTACATATAGGTGTTACAGTAGTGACTCCTTGCAATTGGGAAAAGCACTTTACACGACTTAATTCAGTCACTTAACTCAGGTGAAAATGAGTATGACTGACTATCTTTTGTCCGTACATGAGTTTGTCCTCTGCGTTAGTGGCGGCATAACAAGTTGTAAAATCTTGAGTCTGCCGTCACCATACCTTGTGATGAATGTTGGAATAATATAAAAAAATTATGCTCTACTGCCGTTTCAGCTGGTGATCGAGCTCCGGTCACCGGAGGCGACGTGCCAGGATCTGGACGACTTGGAACCGGCTCTGGAGGAGATGGTAGACCGCATCTTTCAGGATTTGGACAAGGACAGGGACGGTAAACTTCAGATGCGCGAGTTCGTGGAAGGCATCAGAAGGAACCCGAACTTGCTGACGCTTCAGCAGGACGAGATGCCGCGCGGCACGACGGTCGCGATCCAACACCTGCACTGCCCGCCGGGACACATGGGTTTGAGTTCGGAATCCTCCGACAGCGAGTGAGCTGCAGTGCCAACTGTTGACGCATGGTGGCGTGCGTGATCGGTGGCAGATAACACCAGGGTGAGTCGTGTCGGTAGAACCGTCGCCGGTCATTGGTGCGTTTTATAGCGGCCACCGCTTATGAGAAAGCGATTGAACTTGAACATTCAAAATCCAAAATCAACGTTTATCATCAAAGTGCAGTTCTTTGTCTCGTGGGAGTATTGCACACATACTGCCTTTCAAAAGTGTGCGCTACGAATCCTGACATTTAACATCTGTCGATGTGGCCTTTCGAATTCCAGACTATGTGGGTAATCTGATCTATCGTTTTGACAAAAGTGGACGTATGTTTCATCAAATATTTCAGACAAATATATATGTGTATTCTTCAACTTAACTGGTTGGTTGATGTGTTTATTTTAATTGTTCTATCTGACATTCAAAGACACCACATGCAGAAATATTGATTTCATGCTCTAAATAGCTGTTTATTTTATAACATGCGATTAGATATCACATGGATAGATACATATACGGGATAAAATACAAATCCTGTTGTCTCCTCTCAATAACTGCCTTTCGTGCGACATATTTACAGATGCTTAACTCTTTTAGTCAGCCAGTACTCTGACAACGAGTGAGTTGTAGTACCAACCGGAACCGCATGGTGATCACATAGTTCGTGATTGGCTTCTTCTAATCTATTGTTGTTGTACAAAGTCTAGCATAATTATAAGACTGCTGTTTTGTTGCAAAAATTTGTTTCTCAGAATGGTAGTAGGTTAACCCTTATAACCATAATACACGACAAACCGTCTCCATAACCCCACATGCGTTGGTAAAGATGGTATTTCATCTATCGGGATAATTCTGACTTGATTGAACCGTTATCTCTCACTAATATATGTATGCAACAAAATATGAACAAACGAAGACAACGAAAGCGGCAGGAAAGAGCACACGTGACACGTGGTCCAACCTGCAGGGACCGAGCTTCCTGCCCACCTCAACGAGCCTGTCGTTCCAGGTAGTCTCGTTCCCATGCTCTTCCTGTGGGGAGTGCGTCACTTCCGATTTTCTCTCCGTCGTGCTTGGTGGTTTGGGGACATTGACAAGCATCTCTTCTCTCTGAAATAACGAAAAACCGATGATTCAAATGTCTAGGAGTGTCTTTACTGTTTACACTCTGATGTATACACAAGTAAGTTTGCTGTATATTTGAGACTGTGAACACTGTGGATTTCACAAAAAAACTGACCTTTTGTGACGAGACGGTAAAGTTGACGCATGCGTACTCCAGCAGAGCCAGGATGACGAAGAGCTTGCAGCCGAGCAGCCAGACGTCAATAGCCCGGATGTAGTTCAGATCTGGGGCTGGTTTAACTTTCCCGCTCTGTGGAGGCAAACGGACCGATGGATACATGTGAAACCTACTGTTGTACTGTTGACCTGTCATTCTGTCTGTCAATCTTCCCCCACCCACGTGCAGTCAACCTACTCTGTCAGGACAAGCAGAAACACAAACCCACAACTCAGTCAACCAAAACAATACTTCAGTAAGTAATTAAACATAACAAATTAACATTTTCGAAGTATTTATCAGAATGGTATAAGTACCAGCGTGACCATGGTCAGGACAGTGGTCACTCCGAGTCCCGTTCTGGCCGGAGCGGAGGCCGGGTCGATCCAGAAGGAGACCCATGACATGCCGACTACAGACACGGACGGGATGTAGGTCTGGAGGAAGTGGTAGCCGAGACGCCGCGTCAACTTGAACCTGATCTCCAGCACCGAGAAGTACAAGACGACAGGATCAACTGTAAACACGCACAGGGAAGAAATTTCTTGATTTCGTTTGTTTGTTTGAACTATTCTTTATTCACGAGAAGCTCAAATCCGCCTGCAGACCGCACAAAAATATAACGTGTTCATCGTTTTAAAAACATAAATAAATCCAAACACATATTTGTCACAATCAAACAAGTAGCTATCTCTGATGATCTCTTTAAGATACAATCCTCTTTTTATATACTTAATTGAAGACATTCATATTCAAGTGGTACCAGCAGCGCTTCTCTGAATTATAAAGTTTCAAGAAACGATTTTGCATATACGATATACGTTTGTAAAATAACTTTATACAAGCGATCCCATCCTCCATTACAATCTTTCTTTGTCCGCCGGCTAGTCATTAGTAATGCCCACCTTTTTCTATAACTGAAGAACAGTTTGCTGTGTTTCCCGAAGAACATTTCCCTCCGAAGTTGTTGCATTTGATGCACAGCGAATTGTTTCGATTCTCTGCTTCCGTACATTTTAAATCCGTCAGATAACAGCTCTCAGATCCTGCATAGTCGCACAGCCGCTTCTGGTAGATGCACGTTTCCTCTGGGATTAAACAACATGAGATAGATCGGAGGTTACTAGTATTTGCATGATTCGTATCTGTTAATGTTCCATGGATTACATTCGTTACAAATTTAGAATTTTTTTTGAATTTTATTTTATCGAATTTTAACATTAATTATGCAAATTTAGCGTTCGTTTGCATGATTTGCATTTCATTATGTACATCTCTGTCTAAGCTACATGTACATGTACCTTAATGCTAAAGATCATGAAAATCCGAGTTTCCTTTCTTCACTTTTCGGCATTGAGAGATTTCGACAGAGACTCCCTGCAGTCCCAGAACAAGCTGCTAGAGGGACAACACCACTTGTTCCTTACTCGAAAATGCCACAAGAAAAAAATTAAGATCATAACATGTCTAGGACAAAATATAATCTTCACATAGTTGACAATATCCCCAGGCATATGAAGTACTTACCAGGATTTGCATTGCTACCGATATAACTGAGATACTCCACGTGGTTTATATGGAACATGGACCGGACATGCTGCAAGGACATGGAAATTTCCGAGTCAGTCTTCATCCATACAGGTGGCAACTGCCACCTAGCGATCTCTCCTCCAGCTGCAGGTCAATAGAGACGTGTTTCGATTTGACAGAATTGATTTGATTGGACTGTAAAAAATCAAAATATACACGGGGCACAGACAGCTAGCTATTTCTGAATATACATGAAACATTATACATGAAACAGTATACAGGAAACATTACAGAACACGTAACAAAACATTGTATGAACAAATCAATAAATACATCATAGAAAGCAAAAAAAAAAAAAAACTAAAGCTCTGCTACACCATATCTATATATAGTTTACAGACAGTCAAACTCATAAGGTATTGCCATCATTAGGGTCTATCGTTTACATGCCTCTTCCCTCTTCTTACAGTTCAATAAGTCATCGATCTAGGATAAAAAAGTAGCAAGAAATGCAAAGCTGGTTACATACCGAAATAGATGGGCACGTTGCAAACCTGCTTGTCGTGTGGATAGTTGTAAAACGTCATCAAGCATGTTGATTCGATAGTGTATCTGTTGGGTGACAAACGGGTAACCGTCAATTTTACACAACCATCTATAAACGTTTTTTCTTTTTCTCTGTTCTTTATTTATCCGGGACTTATAGCCAGAAAGCGTTTTTGAAAGTATTCCTGGGTGATATCCCGACCCCACAATGAAGTATCGGGCATAACTCAAATCTTTGCGTCAAAATAAAATGACTACATAAATTTATATAAAGAATGCTATTCTGTTTGTAATGACGCCATTCTTTTTTTGTGTAGCTACAAGTAAAGATACTTATCACATAAAAGCAACAAACTAGGCAGTTTTATGAACAAAGATCACGCTTGTGCATTGCCATTATAATGTAATTACTGCCCGGTAAATGACTTAAAAGAAGACCATCACACATTAGGGACATAATTTGCGCTGACTGGAGACCATTTGCTGGACGTTGAAACTATGGCCTAAATAGATTAGCATGGCAGATGACTGGATGGATTGAATGTGATCTGTGAGGTAAAAGTCTGATTTGAAACACAACAAAACCACGCAAAATATTATAATTGCTTTCAATAGTCGCTGTTTACAGGAACAAAATATATGATTCAAAAGACAATAATAAAACCATACAAAATGTAAAAAAAATCATGGACAAAATCTAAGGTGAGAACATTTACCTTTTGTGTTGGAACAACAGTTTCACCTTGAAACATGTTATCGAGTCCTACCTTTTACCGTCCAAGACTCGTCCTCCTGCAGTTACAAACACCTTGCCGACATGCTCTACTCGTATGGAATCATACAGCGGATCGGGCATGATCTCAGGCCTCCAAATCTTTCCCTTTGTTTCGTCAACAAACGCGAGATATGCGGAGGTGTTCAACCTGGGGTCCACCCAGTGACAGTACATGTAAAATGAAATTTTGAATTTCTGAAAAATAAAATGAGAATCCATCAATGGATTGGTGTGTTATTTAATTGCAGCATGGAGATATAAAAAGGGATTTTTATACCTCCATGATTGCAGATAATAAATCTAAAGGTAGAGCGTCAACTCGTAAGTAATACAAATACAAGGAGAGATAGTAGAAGCCATGAAGGGCTTACCATAGCCCCTTCCGAAAATGGGCCAAGGCTTGAGATGTAGGCAGCACAACCAACGTCTACAACTTTATGAAATAGAGAAAATAGACAAATTGGCAAAACTAATATTCCATAGACTTATTAGGAACAACTAGGAAGTACATTCTATAAAATCTAGGTCTTGAAGATTTCTTTCTCTTTTTAAAGCAACTGGAGATGAATTCACACAGTTTTTCTATTGTGTGGTTATATAACCGGTAGTGCATGATGAGATGTCTGAATATCTCTTTCTTTGTTCTACCATTACACAGTTTGTCTAAGCGGATTTTTCTAACTAATATGTCATAGTCAACACGTACCGTCAGAATTAGGTCTTGTTTCGTTATCGTAATTCTCCGGCAACCTTATGACATGCTGCCCCAGCTTCGCCGACCCGATTCCATCTTCATTACTACCGTTGCTGCAATGAGATGCCAAAATGATAAGATGTTGCGTTAACGTTATCATTATCGGGGTATAAAAACAGTTTGTCATCACTACAGTACTTTGTGTTTTCTATTTATAGCTTGATCACTGATACTATTCCCCTTGTGATACTAGTAATTTTCCTCGAGATGGCCTGTGAGCCTTAAGGCATACCATACACCAAGATAATCGCCGAGTAGCTCATCTTTCAACATCGCAAGGCAGGAAATGTATTCATAGTACAGTTGTGTGTACTAAACAGAATTCATCACTGAAATATGTGTTCCAATTGTTCTGTCTAATGTCTTATACTGTGGTATCAAATACACTCAGGGTAGCTTGCCAGCAATGTACGTTCGTGGTATCGCAGTTAAAAATTCCTTTTTTTTCATGGTCATCAAGTGGTGATCAAAATACAGGCGATTCTTTCAATGGACGTAGAAGGTTCAGGCAAATAATATACGATTCCTAAGAGAACAACACTTAAGACTAATTCTACAGTAGTCCTTGTTATCTTCCTACATCTCCCTGGAGCAAAAATAGACCAGGGGTAGGAATAACCAAACAAGCTAGATAACAGTACATGGTACCTTCTCTCCGCTCCGGTAGTTTCTCCCGACGTTGCTTCCATGTATGTAAGCAATAGCAAGAACAGGAAATTCCAGCATGTTCTCTTTGTACTCATGGTGGCTGTATTTCTCACACAGCAGAGCGTTAAACACATCAGCAGCGACCAGCACTGGTGGCTTATCACATTCTAATTTGGATGTTGTAGGAGGAGGATCAATGATTTGTCAATCTCAAGCGTTCCTGCCCGGCCTTATACATAATTCACCAAGACATCCTCCGATATTCATCAGACCTCTATGTCACCCTGCTACTTAAGGAAGCCGTCCGGCAGTGGCTTGCCATGATTCCCACCGCTTGCCATAAATAAGCTTGTAGATGTGCTACATGTTTAGCTTTAAGACCTTGTTGACTGGAAATCTGTGTAATAGATTCACTTAATTACTGCCTCGCTATGTGTAATGCATTATGTTTATCAATGTTGAATTAGTCTTTTACCGATGTATATTTGGGGTGGTAGTTAGGAAAGGTGTTTTTCACATATGTTCTCCCTCCCCTTCCACTTGCCATGTGGAAAATTTCAATTTTAAAGATAACCTTCATTGTACACTCATGCTCTATCGGGCTAAGTAAAGGTGAACAGACGAAAAGGTATATACATGTTTATTGTAGTACAAACAGGACTCCTGATACTGATATCATTACAGCAGCTCTAAAACTAATCCAGTGGTTCGGCTGAATAAACCAATAAACAAATTTGCCATTGCTCCTCTAGTATTCTAAGGAGACATATAACAGAAGGAATCAGTTTCGTGGCGATGTGATTATGTAGATTTGCTGGCCGTTCCTCGACATGCCCTACATACCAGGCTTAGTGGGTCAGGTCCTGAAATGATGAATGTCGTGGTTGAAAATCAATAAGCCGTTATTACATTCTGGTAAATGTTTCTTTTCTGGCTGTGATTGCCTTATATTTCATTAATCTCCAAGCAGATCCTAGGGTGGCATAAGACAGTATCCATTGACCAGAGAGGGTGGCGTATTGGACCCTCTCTGGCCAATGGAACACTCCAAAACATCACCACGGTAGTAAAAAGACGTCGACTCAGCCTCACGGGTCATGTGACTCGTGGTACAGAACCAGCGGGTCGATTACTACTCTGGACTCCAGAGGCAAAAAGGAGGATTGGGTGTCCAATCACAACACTTAAAGGTCTTATCCAGTCTGACACTGGTCTACAAGGAGTGGAACTTTTGTCTGCTATAAAAGACAGAAAGTACTGGCGACAAAACTTCACGCGCTGCACCTCAGAAGAGGATGAGTAAAGAAGAAGAAGGATCTGCTTGGAGATTCATACTTTATAGCTGTTATTATATTGGATTCGAAGTGTTAGGTTTCTATCATTGAGGCCAGTCGCACAAACTCCATTGATTTCATTGGTCCAATGATGCAGGCGGATGATTTTATAATGTATTTTATTTTCTTCACGTATAAAGGTTTAATGAGCACGTGGGAAAGACGAACAAGAGGAGAAATAATAATTACAACCTACAAATCCTGTTGAAACGGGGTAATCAACAACAGAGTATTGTGCCACAAGACAAAAAAGTATTATATGATTGTAACAGAAAGGATCAGCTTTACCTGTAGACGTCTGTAAAACCTTCCTAGAATTCTATAACGGTACTACTGTCTCTCTGTCCCCAAAAAATGTATTCGTGATAAATAACTACATACGATAGCACAGAGTAATAATGGTTATGACCACGTAAGAAATACAAATATAGCAATTTTCCATTCAAAATGTACGTCTAAACACAATTGTATATTTTCAATGCATAGTTAATTTTTTTCTCATTGAAATGTAGATCATCATTTGTATGTACACATGCATGATGATAGGTTCACGCCGAGTACGAGTAAGTTCTATCTCTCTGTAATAAAGACATCTTTGTGCAGGAATTGGCAGATCCTGGCTTTCCAACATTCTGGCTCCTATTCAGCTGATACGTACAAACCAAAGTATGCACAAACAAAGATAACAAAAGCGACTGGAAACAGCACACGTGACACATGGTCCAGGCTACGAGGAAGTTTCTCTGCCATCACGGTCGAGACGGAGAACTTAAACTTCTTCTTCAAGGACGTCTTGTTTTCGTTTTCCTCACAGTCGTACAGATCTGGTCCCGCTTCTTTCTTTACCTGCTCTGCCTGCTGTTCAACATCGACAGCAGGCGTCTGTTCTTCCTGCAACGGAATGAGTAATTAGGTGGAATTAATCCATCATCTATCTATGTCAGGGTAGAACTCTTCATATGGACGATGAAGCGATTCTATCCATAGTTACATATCAGTGTGGAGACTCCGATCTTGTAGAATCGGCGATTCTACCAGTGTATGTTCATTCTAAGATATTCTCTTAAAAGACAGTAAGAACTTTTCAACTTCAATCCATGTCACTTAAGATGTCAATGGATTGATGAAATTTATGATTTGTAAATGGGAAATCACCATCACACATGTCTACAAAGACTAAGATCGAGATCTCTACCGGTGGAATCGCTTATTCTACCAGCTCGGAGTCTCTACCAGGACAAATATATGTACAGAGATAGAAATAGAGAGCAGGGGAAGAACAGAGAGTGGTGTAATGTGTAGATGAAGCTATAATGTGGAATAAAAACTATTCAGTTCCTCTACCCCGCAATGAATCTACCTTTTCCTTCATGGCAGTGAAGTTGACGAACGCGTACTCCAGCAGGGCCAACACGACGAACAGTTTACAGGTCAGCATCCAGACGTCGATCGCCCGGACGTAATTCAGTTCTGGAGCTGCCCCGATCTTTCCACTCTGTACATGGAGATAGATGAAGGGGTAAATTCATTATATTGACGCAGGCCACTCACAATGCTGAGAACACATAATCAAGTACAAGTACAAGCTTAATATATCTACCAGCGTGACCATGGTCAGGACAGTGGTCACTCCGAGTCCTGTTCTGGCCGGAGCGGAGGCCGGGTCGATCCAGAAGGAGACCCAGGACATGCCGACTACAGACACGGACGGGATGTAGGTCTGGAGGAAGTGGTAGCCGAGACGCCGCGTCAACTTCAGTCTCAACTCCAGGTTTGTGACGAATACGACTCCGGCACTGACTGCAGAAAAAAATAAATAAAAGCAACAAATGTCACCTTCCTGGTGTAAGGATTGACTGAGAATCAACCAGATGGAACCAGATGGCTTTGCTAAATTTTTATTCAGTAAACACAATATCATTGACTAGTTACACCCAGGCCTGTATCTGTGTTATTATAGCCGGCATAACCGCCCTTCGACACATCTTTCCTTGGCCCATAATGTGATACAAAAAGATAAACACCCACCTTTCTTCAGAACCGAAGAACAGTTTGAAGTCGGCTTCAATGAACAGACTCCTCCGAAATTATTACACTTGATGCAGACCGGATCGGCCTGGTTCTCCGCTTCCGAGCATCGCAAATTCGTCCTCAGGCAATCCTCAGATCCTTGGTAGTCACACGTGGCCTTCTGGTAGATACAGGTATTCTCTGTAACAGAACAGGCATCATAGTATGTCGCATTACATGATGTAAACGTTTGGATGAGGTATTGACTGCAACGATTACAGTTTCAGACATGATATTGGCTACCATTGGCTAAGAACAAACAGACCGCTTTTCTTTATGACAGTGAGTTCCACTAGTTCTAGGACAGAATAAGCTTTTGAACGCCTCAATCCTTGGTTGATAACTCTGGCACTTGAAGCCATGACTATTTCTTGTTATTTTCTGAGCTGGAATTGGGTACTTAGTAGTTGATAGTCCACCAGTTTGACTGCAAACGAGACGTCAGAAGCGAGAAGAGTTTCATCAGGTTGGTAAGTCCATGAGACGTCAGAGGTTTTTAAAGCACTTACGGGGGGAACTACTGCTGCCAGCAAAGCTGACGTAATCCACCTGATCCACACGGAAGACTGACCGGACGGTCTGCATGTTCATCAACACAGGCTTGTCGCGAACTGGCCAGAACTCCATGGCATTCCACGACGCCTTGACGCCACCCACTGAAAATAGACTACAATTTATACCAATTTAGGCCATGTTGATTTGATTATATGGATGAAATCCTCTGGGAACCCCAAAACTGATGCGAGCGTTTCTTTTCAACTTACGGTATATATTTGCTCATTTTGCAACTGTTTTGTACGGTTCAAGGTATGGTTGAAAGCATTTGTTTTGGAAACGGCCGAAAATTCATGTGCGCGCGGATGCCATCCATATAATGAAATCAACATGGCCTTATCTTAACTTACAAAGAAAAAACTATTCTTCTTTTAACTACCCCAAAGCCACAAATTTTGGAAAGGCGGAACATTAATGTCTTCCATGTTTTACATGTTATGTGTATACATTGTGCGAATAGATAAAACCAACTCCTAACTCCTAGGACGCCGGGAATCGAACCCGCGCCCAAAACACTTCCTGCAATCTCCTAATTCTTGTAACTTATTAAAACGCCCACACAAAGAAAATGAAAGATACCTACTTATCATGATGTGCACATTACAAAACTGCTGATCATGAGGGAAGTTGTGTAATTTCATCAGACATGGAGCGTAGAGGGAGTATCTGTAAAAAAAAAACAACGTTAACATGGAAACAAACACATTTTCACCAAAGGTGCAGTCGTAGCAAATTAACCTCAAATAGACTATAACACACACACGGGGGAGGGGCAGACAGACAGACAGACAGACACACAGACAGACACACACACACACACACACACGCACACACGCACACACGCACACGCACACGCACGCGCACGCACACGCACACGCACACACGCACACGCGTACGCACACGCACGCACGCACACACACACACACACACACACACACACACATACACACAAACACACATACACACACACATACACACACACACACACACACACACACACACACACACACACACAC